GTCCAGGCCTTTAGGTTTGGGCTCGGGTGGGGCCTATTAACGTTCTTTTGAATGCACTTTCGACACTTACGCTACGCTTGGTCTCTTCCGCGTCTCTGATCTGACGTTGTCCAGGGGTTCCTAGACATCCCACAGGCTCTCAGGTAAAGCCGATTGCAAGACTTCAACATACAGGCTTATCTTTTAAGCCGATGATCGTGGGTGTCATAACAGGCCTATCTTGCAGCCTTGGGAGCGCGCCGGGCGCGCGGTAAACAGCCTCAACAGCTTCCCAGCTGCGCGCCGGGCGCGCGGTAGACAACCATGGTAGCACCATAGCTGCGCGCCAGGCGCGCGGTAAACAAACCCAAGAGCACCATAGCTGCGCGCCAGGCGCGCTGTAAAGAGCCCTAGGCGCGCGCCGGGCGCGCAGCGACACTCAGCCACCAGCACTGCGGCGACAGCTGGAAACAGCGATCAGCACCGTGAGAGGCAGATGTATTGACAGAATATCCTGACAAACGCTGCCTTGTTCTGTGAACGCTGCCGTGTTCTGTGTAATGACAGACTATCCTGACAAACGCTGCCATGCTCTGCATGTGTAAACTATCCTGACAAACGCTGCCATGTTCTGTGTAGCAACAGACTAATCCTGACAAAAACTGCCCTACACACAACATCCCACAGCTTTCTTGCACTTCCTCCGGCACACGGTCGCAAACCTTTACCCCAAACGGAAACATGTTTTTTGACACTGTGGTTAGGCCCAGAATCTTTGAAATGGCCGTTCTTGTTGGAGGCCGTCGCTATAAGGTTGGAGGCCATCGCTAGTAGTAGGTTGGAGCCCTCGAAGTGGGATTTGAACTTTTCCGGCCCTGTTGGCCCTGGCTTTTTAAACGCCGATCCATCTTGGAGGGTGTTTTTTTGAATGAAAGGAGACTGCTTTGGGAGAACGTCTATAGAGTCTATATACGTCCAAACATCCACATGACGTGTCTCGAAGCTTTGTTGGTGAGCTTCCCCAATCCAAAGGAAAGGGGCGATGATTTGAATGAGGGGGTGGCCCACTCCGTGGGTGTAAGGTGGGTTGGCAGACATGCGCCTTCTCTTGGGGCTCGAACCCGGGGTTTTGAGTTCGCGCTGGAACTTTACAAACTCAATGCTCCAGACAGTGTGCATTTGCTAGTGTTGCACTAGTTGTTTCAAAAGAAAACCACATCAATTGACAAGAACACCAAAAAACACACAGCCATAGGATCGCTCGGGTCAGCTTGTTTTCCTGGCCACGGCTTGGGTCTTAGATCACGTCAGTGAGCTGCAGCCACGCTCTGTAGCGGGAGAGAGTGACGGCCCATCGTCCGTGCGTGGCAAGCCCCAGCAATGCGCCCCACGTGGGGCATTAGGTCTTCGTCGGCGTAGCACTGCTCAAACCTGAATGGAAGAGACGTGCAAAGGGAAACACAAATAGACATTCATTATTAGGCGACCAATCGTATAGAAAAATTTACCTTCTGTAGAATGGCAAAGAACCTGGGGTTGCGCCTTGTTTGCTGCACGTAGTCAGCTAGGTGCGTCATCGAATGGAACTTTGGTGTAATTTTGTAGTTGCGGAGATCTTCTCCTCCATGTAGCCGGTTCAACTGCGCCAGTCGTTGATAAAACACTAAGAAGATGCGGGCAAAGTTTGCCGTCTCCAACGCTTTCTCAGGCCAAAAGAATTCCGAGCTCTCATCCATGTTGGATTGAAACCTGTGGAGCGCGTACATCGTGTAGCACCGGAGGTCAGAGCCAGCACATGTGCCCAAGGCATCGCACAAAAACGACGATGCCCAAGCAATCATGTCTTTGACAACGGCTGCCTTGTAAACGCTTTGCAACTCTGGAAATCCATTCCAGTGCTCTCGGCCAAACCTGGTGGAGTTGAACCTGTGGCTGCATCCAGGTTTCCTGTGAGCCAGGCACCAGGAACGGTAATGATTCCACACTTCTGTGCCCAAAACTCGATCAACAGCAGCAAGTGTGCAACCCGGACACTTAGCCTCGATGTGACCAGAAATGAGAGATGGAATGGCAACGCACGCCACTCCTTGATGCAGGACGTGTAGTAAATCCTCGGTTCCCAAAGTCTCAAAGCTCCCCTCGCAGAACAAAAAGAAAAGATGTAATGGGGAATGGCCGACAACACTAATCTAAAAACAAAGAACTCTGTCAAATCTTTAAAAATGAGTGACCTCAAGGTTGCGCTCTCGGCGCCAACCAGGCACATGCGCCCATTGAGAAACACGGTGCCTTGAGCAGCTGCTCAAATACTCTTCATGAGTCCACTGCACGCTTTTGTAAGGCGCGTCGGGCAACAAGTTTCCAAAGGTGTATAAACCTGTCCGACTAGCTGGACATCGCTCACAAATATGCTTTGCAGCATAGTTTCGCTCAAACTTATGGCAAATAACTCTAGCTTCCCAATCCCCTCGAAACCCAGCAAACAGGAATTGCCAGCCATTAGCGAAATTGGTGCCTGCTCTCAAGTATTCCCGGCTCCCTGGGGGAAAGGGTTTCCCATCAGGGCCTTCCAGCGGGAAGACTCCACGGCCAAGCACACGCATCACATACGCGATATGTCGAGCCATGGCGTCATGTGTGTCATACTTTTTGATGTGGGTTTCACGCACCAAGGTGAACAAAAGCCTTGTCTTTGTGGATTCTCCTTTCGTAGTCGCAGAGCAAAAGCTGTAGACCCAGGCTTTCTGAGCTTTGTATATTTTGACACCGTCCGCATGCCAAAAAATCGGCACGCATGTAGAGAAGCTCGCCTCTTGAAGGTTGTGATCCGAGAACCATTCCTGGTTCTTAGCATGTTGCCAATACTGTGAGACCTTCTCGCCTGCGCTGGTTGGATCATCTGAAATCCATTGCAAAAGCTTTCCTGAAGTAAACAGCCAATGCAGTAGATCCCAAGGCCACAGAACTGCAGTCTCAACACTACCGCTCGTAAGACAAGGCTGTCCATCAATTTCAGCTTCAACCAAAGCAGGCAATGTGATGCAAGAGGGGTGAACAGTGCACACCTTCTGACACCACCTGATTGGACAAAGCATCCAAACTTCGAGACAAATTCATTCACCCAGCTTAAAAGAACAAAACCTTTGGTTCTTTAAGGCTATATAATAAACATATGCGACGCGCACCTTGCAAAAGAGCGTTCTTCGTGGCCAGAATCTGCCCAGGTGGCAAGAGTCTTGGTGATCTCACAATGATGTACCCCATCTTTCACTAGGTCACGAGCTGATCTGCAAGCATCGGCTACTGAAGATACCTGGGTATAGACAAGTGTTTTGAAGCATTTACTAGAGTTTCTTTCAAGAACGAACTCACAGTAGTTAGTAAATAACACGAAAAGCCTTCTTGGTTTCCTTCCAGATGGCTCCAGAGCAGACCTTTTCCAGAAGCCTTTGCCCCGACAAAGAATCCAGCTCTTGAGGCGCATGGCCCTCTGTACCAACACGGTCACGAGGCGGTGATCTCGAGCGGGACCTGCGTGGGGTGTTTGAAGAACAGTTGACATGTGGTGCGCGTGTACCCTTGGTTGGTCATTCCTGGGATTCTTTTCCATCTCCATCGGAGTCGAGGTCGCTGAAAGCTCGAAACATCCAACCCTTAAGTTGGATAGTTGGACTTGAGGCCAAGGGGGCGGGCGAAAGCTAGCGCTCCAGAATGGGAAAGTGGAGGGCAGCGAGGTAGGAAAAACACGGCGCTCTTTTTGGAGGCAGGGGTGAAGAGTCCTTTATATGTGGCTCTTTGCCCGGATCCTCCTGCGAGAGAAGAGAGAGGGAAAGACGAGAGACAGAGAGGAGAGAGAGAGAGAGAGGAGAGAGAGATGAGAAAGAGATGAGAGAGATGAGAGAGATGAGAGAGAGACAGTGAGACAGTGAGACAGTGAGAGTGAGAGTGAGCGACTGCGGCCGCAAGATACGCAACGCTAACCGCATGCCAAAGAGCGACGACAGGACGGAGTCGAACTTGCGAAGAGGGAAGAGGGAGGGAGGGAGGGAAGGTGGGAGGAAGACAAGGAGGAGGAGAGGGGAGGTGGGGTGGGGAGAGGGGAGAGGGGAGAGGAGGGAGGAGGGGAGGGGGGGGGGGTCTTCGACCTGAAAAATCAGGGGTTAGGATTTGCACCCGGTCGAAAGAAACCTTGCTATCGCAAGAGTAACTCCAGCTAGCTTCGCTAGCTTTCGTGAGAAGACATATTGAAATGCCTGCGTGAGATTCCCCTCTCCTAGGCAGGCACTCAATACTACACCCCTACATCACTAGATCGACAGCTTGACAGAATGTTTTCACTCTGTCTTCACTGGGCTAGGGCTGGGCTTCTTCTTTGGCTTCGGCTTGGTAGACTTCTCGCTGGCCCTGACCAGCGCCTTGGCTAAGTCGATCCTCTGGGTCGCAAGCTCGCTGGCCTGTTCAACCTTGGGTCATCAGAAGAAACCGCGTTTAAGAGTTCAGGTGAGATGAATGGAAGGATAGTTCACCCAATTCTAGTTGTTCACAATCCTTTCTGAAGAAACTCATATGGTGGTGGGTTCACTTCATAGTGATTTGGTGTCGCGCTACTTTTTCACCATGTGGGACATTTTGAGAACTGAAGGGTGAAGACAAGACACTTCCTTGATCAACTCAACATAGTGGCTGTTTTTGTTCTTGCCCTTGCGGATCTTTCCCTGCAGTCGGCAAGCTAGATCTTGTAGCGTGGTGTCCATCGCTGAGAGTTGGTCCACCAGCTCATTCGACATGCCCAGCGGTCTGATCTTGAACGCATTGTCACGGCATGCGTTCGCTTTGGAGAGTAGCTGGTTCTGAAGAGTAGCCGCCCTCTCCAAAGGAGTCTTTGGGGTGACTTCCACAATTTCATCTTTCCCTCCACTCTCACCACCACCAGTTTTCTTGGCCTTGGACTTTCTGGCCTTGCCAGTAGCGGTGACAGAGGCCATTGCACCAATGAGCTTCTTTCCACCATCCGCTCCACCAAGGGCCCCGACCTGAATGTGCTGGTCTCCATTGAGGCAGCCGCCAGCCTGCACATGGACACAAACAGGTTGGGAAGGGAAGCGGCTTCACAACAAAACTAGGCGTTTGGAGCCTACAGTTGATGGTTTTGGAACTGGGAGCAATCGTTGTAGGAGCGCAAAGAAACAGCTGGCCTCAACAAACTGCTTCAACTGGTCAGGGTCAAGCTGGCCCTCAAGTTCCAACTTGGTGACGCGCTTCAACTCAGCAATGTTTTCGATGTTGAGCTCCACCAAGACGAAATACAAAAGATCGTTTTCATCCGGTAACTCTGGGTTCTGCACAGTCCTAGGCACTGGTTCATGAGACCACACTCCAACCACATCTCTGGGGATACCCGAGCGTAAATAAATAAATATATATATATATTATATATATATGCATGTACAAATACAGTATATTACCGTACGACGTATTGAAAGTTTACTGGCTAATATATTGTTGGGCGGAAGACGTCAAACGTCACAATAACCTAAGTAAAGCCAAAGTTCATCCCCAAAGATTCGTTGCGCTCCGCTATGGCAGCACCATGGTGCTTGATCAACCACTCAGAGTTGCGGAAGCCGTACTTCAATTTTGTTTTCTGCGATTCTTCCAGCCTCCTTTCATGAAGAAAAGTCGTTTGCTTTTTGTTGCACCCATTTGCAACGTAGTCTTCAAAAATTTTCTGTCGGGAGTCCGTCTTGCGGCAAGCCGCCAGGATACTGGCAGGACACTTCTTCTTGTTCTTGAGCCATCGACCAAAAGAATGGTATTCTTTGTTGGCGGTCACTGAGTTCAGCTTCTCCGCCTCCGCATCCTTGAGAGATGTCTTTTTCTTGGTCTTCCTCTTATCCTTCTTGCTCTTCTTCTCATTTTCATCTTCATCCTCCTCGTCTTCACTGCTTTTCCTCTTCTTTCCCTTTGTCTCCTCTGGCTCTTCTTCTGCCTCGTCGTCTGACGCCTCCTCTCGTGCATCTGAGGCTGACTCATCACCATCCTCTCCAGCATCACCCCCTTCCTCTGACGCTTCTCCTCCTTCTTCTGTGCTTTCATCTTCTTCTCCTTCATCACTCTCTTCCTCCTCCTGATCCTCTTCAGCGTCTGAGCCAACAAGCTGTTCCTCATCTTCTTCTTCATCCTCTTCTTCACTTTCTGCACTTTGTGACTCCTCAGATTCTTCTTCACAACTCTCCTTGCTTTCCTCCTCAGAGTCCGACTTCTCAGATGCAGAGCTCGACTCTTCATCATCCTCTGACGAAGCTGAAGGAGCATCTGACTCATCCTCCGGTTCCTTCTTTGCCTCCTTCTTTGTTTTCTTTGCACCTGAAGCTTTCTTATCATCTTCCCGTTTTGCCCGCTTCTTTGTCTCTGCCTCCTCCTTCATCTTTGCCTCCTTCTGTGCCTCTGCCTCCTTATTCTTCTTCTTCTTGGCATCTGCCTCCTTCTTCTGTGCCTCTGCCTCCTTCTTCTTTGCATCTGCCTCCTTCTTCTTTGCCTCTGCGTCCTTCATTTTCGCCGCTGCCTCCTTCTTCTTTGCCTCTGCGCCCTTCGCCGCTGCCTCCTTCTTTGCCTCTGCCTCCTTCTTCTTTGCACATGCCTCCTTCTTTGCCTCTGCATCCTTCTTCTTTGCCTCTGCATCCT